CTGGGAGTTGAAGTCCACTCATCTTAAAGTGGCCAAGTTTGGACAACACTGCTCTAGCACAATGTTTTTTAACCTTGGCAACTTTAAGAGGCGTGGACCTCGGCTCCCAGAATTCCCGAGTCAGTATGTTAAGGTCCACACCTCTTAAAGTTGCCAAAGTTGGAAAGTATATTCCCTTAATGCATTATTACCTTTCTTTTGGTAGCTATTCGCCAGTGGCTAGCTAGGAAACGTTTCCAGAGGTTACGTAAGGCTGTTAGGATTATAAAACGGGCCTGGAGGAAATGGAAGGTAAGAGAAACAAGTTTAACAAGGTAAGAAATCATCTGGGGTTTTTTTTTTTTTGAAAACTGGAAACAAAACTAGGTACATGCTGCAGTTCTGGGCAAAGAACTAAGCAAGGGGTTTTTTTTTAAGAGTTTTTTAAAGGGTTCTAGTCCTCATGACCGCAAATGCATTAAAGCATGTTGGTGAAGACTCAAACTCTGGTGGGTAGAGGCATCCGCAGAATTGGAGGCTTTCCTCAAGATGATGAAAACAGCATCATAAAGGGTTACTTTCATGTGTGTGTGTGACATCACGACACACAAAATGGATGGAGTTTGTCATGATGGCTTGACACCCCTCTCCCTTTTCACACACATACACACTACTGACACTTCTGTAGCTAAATAAGATTTGTGGGAATTTAAAGAAGCTCCATGTCGTCCCCTCCCCATGTCCGGCAAAATTAAATGATGCAAATAGGAAAAGCTGCAGAATAAATTTTATAAAATAAGTCGGCCTCTTTCACTGTCCTTGGCTTGCATTGCCTTGGCCTGGAGATAAACTGTAACTAATACCTTAACTATTACTTTCCCTGTTTCTGCCCCCTCCTCCAGGTTATTTTATTCCCTGATCATTGTGTACAGTACTGCCATAATCTCATATTTTTTTCAATGATTGTGTGCTTGAGGTTGTGCAGTTGTACCATGTCCAGATTATTTAATCCAGAAGAGAATTAAACCTTCCCTTTTCTCAATGTTTACTTGGTGAATAAATTGGAGTACTTTTTACCCCCCTTCCATAGGCCAGGATGGCTCTGATAGCTGCGGAAGAACTGGATGCCGTTGAAGAAATTCCCCTTCCCTCTGTCCTTGGGGCAGCTGTTTCCTCAGGCCAGGCTCCTAGAGAACTGGGCACTTCCTGGCCTCTGAATTCCATCATCCACTTCTGGCCTCTCAGTCTTGCTCTGTCAAGCGCCCCAACAAAGGTGGAGGGGTTCCAGAGAGACCTTGCTCTCCTCACTTGCCTCCAGGTCTTACAGAAGATAAGCTGGAACAAGGCAGAGACCAGGCTCCCTGCACAAGGTGTCAGCTCCATCAGAGCTCCCCCGCAGGTAAGGACTGCACTAGAAGAGAATATCTGTAGCTCGGGGTTGAACTGCGGAGTCCTTGGGGCTCTCTGAGCTTGCTGGTTTGCTTGCAGACGTTTCATGACCCGACTAGGTCACATCATCAGTGCGAGGGAGTCTGGGGTTTGCTCCACACTTGGAACTACCAAGGAGAAAACCACACCCCCAAAAACACTGGCAGGGCAAGCTACAGTATATAAACAGGGAGCAAACCCCACCCTCCCTTGCCCTGATGATGTGGCCTAGTCAGGTCATGAAACGTCTGCAAGCAAACAACCGAGCTCAGAGAGCCCCAAGGACTCCAAAGGACTACACTCTCTGAAAATGGGATCCTTCTGCTGCCAAAGGACTGCAGCTGAGTAGACATGAAAAAAGATTCAGGGGGGCTTTGGATTTATTACCGGTTAGAAAACCAAAACTTCCTTGTTAGTCTTACCAAGAATCTTGCTTATTGCGTGCAGCTCAAAGCGCCTGCAGAAGTTTCTTGCTGTTACCAAAATGACAAAAGCAGCCTTGTACCGTTCCGATGCAACCTCCCCTCCTTTTGGACATGCGTGCCATGCCAGAGCATATGTACAAAAGGGATGGGGCTTGTGACACTACAGCACAACGCTGATTTCACCATTCTGAAACACAGAGGGGGGGGGGTGAAAGAACATTTCATTTGGGTACTGAGTTAGTGCAGAGTCTGTTTATCTCACCTTGCTCAAATGTTGGCCATTCCTAGCTTACTACCTGTTTTATTTTATGGAATATGTATTACATTGTCATATATATAAATATAAAAAAATTAGATTGCACACTTGCTGTATCATAGGGCATTGTTTTAGACATGTAGGCCAGCTGTGTTTCAGTTGGTCTTAACTGTAAATAACTGGCTAACTGACTTCACACTGGATGGAGTTTTGCAGTTATTGTGTCTTTTTAATTTGTATAATGCCTTGGTAATCTAATATCTTTCTTTCCTCAGGGCTCCATCAAGTTCCACTGCAGGAAGTCCCCACTGCTTCACGCCAACACCAGGCCACACAGCCACACTTGCGTAATGACTGGGCTCAACCAGATTCTCCTCGATAAACGTGCAGTGCTCTCAGTCTGAAAGGGTTCTTCTGGGCCCTTGATCTGTCCTGTATTTATTGCTCCCTAAGTCTTGTAGTATCTCCTGCCTAGGATGCTTCCTGGAGAACCAGAGAAGCACGGCCCTAACTAAAGTGCTTCTTCCGCACACCGACATTATCTAGGAGCCGAAGTAGAGTCCTGGCCCACCCATTCAATCCATGCATTTATTAAAATACAGCTGTACTCATTTTCACATTTCTGGGGATTGTATGCATATAGTAGAAACCAAGCTACCTCCACTAGCTTATTTGGCCTGATAGCAACCAGTAACCTTGTGCAGTGAAGGGATCCCACCCCCTTCATCATCTGATCCTTTACTTTCAGAATCTGGAAGCAAATCTTACAAGGGTCGTGCACACTTTGGAAATGATTCCGAAGTGCTTTAAGCACACACCTTTCTGCTATTCAGTAAAGCAGCCCAACATTTTCCAGGTTTCCATACAAGGTTTTAAATAATGCTACTTTAAGGAATCCACTGGTTTATGTTGAACCTTAAAGCAGCAGCATTTTTTTTCCATGCTTCTGCAGAAGCCTTAGTAAAGTCAGACTTTAATTAATTGCAAAGAGGTGCTGCGCTTGGACCAGTGTGAGCTCAAAGCTGTTCTTCCAAATCATTTTTGAAGCGTGTACAGCTCTAAATCTTATTAAACCCAGAAGCCTGTAGAATTTCAATCCTGCTAGTTTTGGGGGTGCATATTTTTTTAAAAAATGGTCTATATGACATGTATTTCAAAATGGTGCTGTAGATTTGCTATACAACAAATCTGTTTCCCTTAGATAGAAATCTTCAGGGTTATTCTTTTTTAATGGCCACATAGTTATATTGATATATTATCAAATATCCATTTTAATGTAGTGAGAACTTTATGTTTTTAAAACTTTCTCTATTGCACTGTCAGTGTTCTTGACATAGTGCTTGGGGCATTTTTAAAAAATCTAAACAGTTATTTTGAAAATTCCTGCGAGATGCAGCTGTTTTGTTCAAAATGTTTCTTAAAATGTCAACAACCAGATATCTTCACCGGGAAGAAAAAAGAAAGAATAATAAATACTTTTAAAATATTAGAATACTGTATTAATAGGTGGAGGTCAGAATAACTCTCTTCCCTGATCCCTCTACCTAACTTCTGGGTTACATTAAACTTTGTACAAATTAAGAGATAATAAACTTCAGAGTTTATTATAAATGGTGCTGGTTGGTTTTGATTTCTCTTGTACTCCTCCCTCCAGACCTGGCTGGGAGCAAAGTCGGACTTCAGTGAAGTTATAAAGAAATTAAAGTAACAGCTGCACTTTAAACCCAGTGCATATTTGACTGGTAGATTCTTCTGTGATTTTGCTCCTTGGATGTGCCATTAAACTGTTGATCTGGGAACTAATTTGAGTGGGGTCCCTTCTATAGTTGGTCCAAATCCCTAATGATTCATTTCTTCCTTTTGAGTCCATTTCTCTTTCCCAGTCTGCTGCAAACCAAATTTATTGAGATACAGTCTTAAACGTATTTACTGCATTTATCTGTTACAGAGTTGTATCTCTGCAAGAAGTCAAAATAGCATACATAGAACCATCTCTATGGAGGGAAGATACGCAGCTGGGTTGAAGAATCAATTCATCGAGCAAAAAAAAGTTGCATTTTGGAATTGGTATCAGTATAAACAACATCTACAGGAATAAAATTTACTTCAGGTGGAGAAAGAACATTTTAAAAAAAATTTAAATCCCACTTCCCCATCCTGCCATCTGAAATGATACAATCCAGGAATAATTTGACCACAAAGTGAATATGAAGTAGCTAGAGAAATCAATTCCACCTTTATTTGTAACAAGCAGCCACTCAGGAGCCAGATTCAGAGGAGAGTTGGTGGAGGAAGGAAGCCAGGCAGATCTCACTAAATCCTAGGAACAGATTGCTATCTGGATCTCTGGACATGCACCCAAGCCATATTTGGCATATCTGTTCCAGGGTGGGAGAAAGCAGGGGAAAGGGGTGAAGAGCAAGGAAGGGGCCGGGAAAATCAAGAGGTGAACTAATTGGGTGATGCCATTCATGAATTCAAGTGGGGGAGGTAAGAGCAAGGAAGTTGTGGGGGACATCCAGAGGTAACACCAGTCTTGCTAACTCTTCCTGTAAGACCTCGCTGAATTTAATCTCAGCTAAAGCCCAGGATGACCAAAATATGTTTGGTCAAACCTCCAGGCCACAATGTCCTTCTTCTGAGTCTTGTGAAATGCCCAGAGGGAAATCAGCATTCCTTCCCATGCTGTTTTTCTGTTTTTGTAAAGGGAAGTGATATGCTTACTACATTGGTCTCACGCTCCAGAAGTAAAATCTTAATTTCCTTCCATTCCCATGTACTATAAAATCAGACCAGGGTGCAAAGAGTAGGTTAGGCTTTATTAAAAGAATAAAAGCATCTTTCTCCCTTTCAAACCAGCCACTTTCTAGCGGTGTCTCCACTTTGACACTGGCAAAGATTTGGTGGTGGAAAAAGAGTACACGTGTGAGAATAATCCCCACAGTCCTGGATCAACCGTTCTTGGGAGCAGCGTGGTCCATTCTGGCCGAGGGATTCCAACAAAGAGCCGTGAGTAACCCTAAGCATTTCCAAATTTGCTAGCTGTCTTCCAGGGCTGGAGAATCCTCTACTTCAGTGTTTCTCAACCTCGGCAACTTTAAGACGGGTGGACTTCAACTCCCAGAACTCCCCAGCCA